ACACTTAAGAATTCTAAGGTATGAAAAATAACATGATTGCTTTTTCATTATTCGGTGTCCATGCTTTTAAGATTATTTTCTTCATTTTTTTTATTTTAAAGTACCGTCCTTTTCATTTGGAAAATCTCAGTACTAGACTAGTAATGAAGATTATACCTCTGCAAGTCATGATATATTTTGAGCTATTGACAAAACCTTGAGAAACTGGAGAAATTGGTGCAAAAAATGCTGGAGAAATAGGCATCAATATTATTGAAATTTTATATTTTCGTTCCACTGAAGTATTGCACAATCAGAAAAAAACCTACAAAACTTATCTGTCCCTTCTAGAATGACTGAGAAGTCCTAGGTGTGAGGAAAATATGATAAAACAGCTACCATAAAATTCAATTTTATTTCTTAATAAACGTAATGCATTCAAAACCAGATTTTTTTGCAAGCCTTGACCGGTAAACTTGGGGTTAACAGGGCTGGTACCCCATTACTATCTCCCTGTTTGTGTTGCTGCTAAATGCAGTTGCTTGCTGATGGAATGCCAAGATTTGCACTTAAAAAGAAGCCTTGCTAAGTTTTGTAGAAGAAAAACAATCTTGTACTGATAAAATACTATACTTTCAACTTGGGGAAAAAAGCATCTAGAAAATACTTGCTATGCCACAACACTCTGAAATGTACTTTATAACAAAACTATCAAAAGTACAGAATTCTTCCAGCTGGCAAAAATCTCAGTAAACACATCTCTTTGACAAAGTTCTCCTTTCAGACTTCGACATGCATGGGGGAGGGAATCCACAGAAAGGAAATTTGTGATTCTATGGTGGAAGGAAAGCCATAAAAGAGGAAGGGTGAACTAAGGTGACTTGCCTGGATGGCTTGTACCAAATGTCTCCTTATATTGTCACCTTTATACTGAGAATTACAGTGAGATGCTAATGGTTATCTTGGGCACAAAAAAGGACATAAACAAATATGGAAAAGATTCCCCATTTTGTAGATTATTATGAAAAAAAATAGTCTGTGAATTCTAATGTACCATAATCTTTATGTCCTAGTAGTATACACAAGCTACTTCTCAAAAAAATCCTTTCCAACCCAAACAATTTTATGACGCTATGCAAATAATATTTGTCAACAAGTGCTTAACACATGCCTTCACCATACTTACTGCTGCCTGACTGTGGCCAGGACTCAGTCCCAGAAGCCATGAAAGGAGTTTGCTGGTCCATTCCATGGGTTCCTCAATCTGCCTTGTGAAGCACAGAAATTATTGATTCTATTAATACTTCATCATGAAAAATCGCCGCTATTCCCAGTATACATCTTAATAGTTATTACTATATTCTGCAAAATGGAATACAAAAATAGAATTCCATGAAAAAATCCTGCCCAGCTCCTCAGGGTGTAGCTAAGTGGTATTTTTAGGAGTCTGCCCAGGTCCTTTGCTTCCTTGCAGGGAATTTTTTAATGGGTCTTGCTATTAGAAGCTTTTTTCACCATTCCATTAGCAGTAGTTTCAGAGCAAAGCATGCCAATACCTCTACTGTATCTGTGAACTGCATAATGAATGGTTAGTTCTCTGAATCCAAAAGATGCAGGAATATAAGGGACTATACAGCCTGGATGTGTTTTGTGGATGTAAAAGGCAACAACTAAAAACCATAATCCCACATCATAAGGGGGACATGCGTTCATAGGGCAGCAAAGCCAGGAGAGGAAATCAACCCAGAAGATACAAAAATAGGCAAAGTTATCTGTTTAACATGGTCAGATGTTAATATTGGTACTTGGGGTAGCACAAACCACAAGTGATTATCCTCACATTGGCTCTACACTTCAGAAGCTTCTTCCACGAATGTAACAGTCTGGATAAATTAGAATTTCAGGCAGAGGAGAGAATACATAATATCTGGTCATTTCCTATGTAGTAAGAATTGTCATGTGATGATGCAGGGGTTTGCTATTAGTTAGCAGAAGAGCTTAGCGTAAAATAATCCCTGTCAGAGACTTGAGTCAAAAGGCTTTTAACTGGAGGGTGTCTATGTTACAAGGCATAATGTTAAAATCCTTTTTTTCTGATTTTTTCATCATCCTTTTTAATCCCTAGAGAATTGTCAGCTCCTGTGAATAAAGGTCTCCCATCTATTGTTCAAACTCAGGTCACACTCTCTGTTCAGTGATAAGTTATAGTTATTCTGTGTATCACTTTCAAAAGCACAGAAACAAAGAACAGCTTTACATGAATATCAGCTCAGCCTCTTGCTTTTTCCTTGAGCTGCATCTCCTAGAGCTGTTCAACCTAAATCCCTTCTTCCTCAGAGGTCCCATTCTCACTTTCCCTGTAGTAAGGCAAGGCTGCAGTCTTAGGCTTATAGGTCATATCCTTCCTTCTAGAAATATTTTCCACCAACAATCAACACAGGCTAAAAAAAGCCAATGTAATGTTGCTGTAAAGCCTCATTTTTCTTTCAGAGGGATTTAAACTGATAACTGGAAAAGCCATGGACATGTCATTCTGCTCCTTTACTCCCCTCAGGATCATTTTGTTAAAATCAAAGAGGGCCTGCTAAATTATGTCCTTCAGAAAAAGGGCCTAGATAAAAGCACCAGACTCTGCATTCCATGTATTTTATATAATTGTAGGAGATGTTTGTGCCCAGGCACTGGCAGCGGAGACTGCAAGACAGCCTCTGCACAGAGCGGCCGGGGCCACCCCGTGCCAATTCCAGCATATTCCAGCACACCCACTGCAGGGCATGGCTAAGCCCTGCAGCCAAGGTGCTGGCATCACTGGGAAAGTGTATTTAACAAAGGCACAAGCAGTGGAGAATGAGGGGGAAAACGTGAGAAATAACCTTGGAGCACCAAGGTCAGAGAAGGATAGGAAAATGTACTCTGAGCACTAGAGCAAAGATTCCCTTGCAGCCCACAGTGGCCTGGGAAGGACCCTGCAGGAGGATGTGTCCTGAAGGAACAGCATCCCAAAGATAGGACTCAATTTGGAGGAAGGGAAATACATGAGGAGGAAGGAACAGCTAAGAGGAATAGTTATGGACTGATCACAAGCCTGCACTCCTATCCCCCTGCGCTGCTCAGGGGTGGGTAGGAGGTATAGGAGTTGGGAATGAAGGAGGAAGCTGAGCCTGGCAAGAAGAGAGGGAAAATTATTTTAATATTTGTCTTTGTTTCTCACTATATAAATCTATTTTAAATGGCAATAAAACTCATTATTTTTCCCCAAGATGAACCTGTTTAGCCTATGAAAGTAACTGGTAAGTGACCTTCCCATCCTTACTTCGACCCAGCCTTCCCAACCTTACTTCAACATGAGAATTTCATCTTATTTTCTTCCCATATTCTGTTGAGGAGAGATAGTGAGAGAGTGGCTGGGTGGGTCTGACAGCCAGACAAGGTTAACCCACCACTATAACTAAAACCAGAATTAAGACCATCCATCTTCCCAAAACCAGGAGATATTGTGACAAATTCCTTTTCTTCAAGATAGAGTGCTAGAATAAAGCTAAGCTAAGGGATGTTACCTCTTTCTTCCTTTCCTGAGCAGTCAATGTGAAAACATTTCTGTTGTAACTGTGGTGATACACTCACACATAAGTTTTTTACATTCACTAAGGCAGCAAAGTTATGTGCTATTAGTGGGCCTCTGAATCACATTCTACAATGTCTTCATTCTGAATTTAATGATTTATTTCATAGTAGGAAGAGATGAGCTATGGAAGTGGATTTAAAGTCCTGAAATTCACTTTCTGCTTTCTTTGACTTTGATTGTATATATATATATATATAATCTATATATTATTATATATTTTTTTATTTATAATGGTGGGGTTTTAATAAAATTTTTTTGTGGCACTATCTAGCCAAGAAAACAAAACACAAAAATTGAAAAATGTGCAGAAAAAGAAAGTCAGACAAAAATTACTGTAACACATTGTAAAATCTACAGTGTGCCAATATGTTCAGAATACTTTTTCGTGGTAACTGATTTCCCCTCCTTTTCCCTTGTGTGCCATGGTGCTGCATGGTTAACTTTTTTTAGTTTTAGAACATCTGTGAGTTCTAGGGCTACATTCAGGATCAAAAGTCAACTATTAACAATCCCTAACTAGGTTGTTAGGTTTTGCAAGGACCATATGAAAGAGTCATTCTGGAAAGAGACTGATCACTTCTCTCAGAAGGAAACAGCTAGAGCAAGGACAAAGGAGGCTATATGAATGTCTCAGCCCTATCTCTCCATGGAAAGAAAGATACCTCATAACAATGCAGCATATCTCTGCTTTTTCTCCTTTTTAACACATAAAAATATACAAGGACTTCTTTTATATCAATTTCTCATTTTTTTTCTTTATGTGGGAAATATATGAGATATGTGGCTGCATAGGGAAACCCTCTATTGGTGCTTCCTCCCCTAGGTATTTTAGGAGTCCCCTGGAGAAGGCATGAATGTTCATCCCTATGTAGCCACCAGACATGAACTAGTTTTCTAATAAGAGTCTTATTGATTACACAATTAAAGTTATAGTCCCTTCCTTTTCCAGTCCTCTAATCCTATGTCCTCCACAGTCACACAAATACAAATCAATAAATCTGCAGCATGTTATCCTTTACACAGACACGAGGATAGAACTATAGGGTAATTTTGTCTGTCTTCTGTGTTCAAAATGCTTGACCTAGGTTCTGAGCAAAAAAACTTCTCAATATGTACTAATTTACCAAGTATGAGACATATTAAAATCCTGGTATTAATTTGTCAGTGAGCTTTTAATGTGAAGAAGGGAAATATTGTCACTTTGTCACAGAGCACAAGAACCCATGCCCTCTCCAAAGGAAATTTCTGAGGTTGCGATTCAGTGTTATTGAAGTTCTATCTATTATGATGGCTGATTGTTTTAACAGGACACATATATATGTAATTTAATACCTGATATTATTTTCTTTCTCTTCCTCTTTTTTTTTTTTTTTCANTTTTTTTTTTTTTTTTTCAGAGCAAATTATGACATCGACATCTAAAGGTTTTTTTTTTTTTTTTTTTATTATCTTCATTATCCTTGGTTGTTTCATTTTTTTTTTTTTTTTTTATATCAAACCAACAAATAGCTGGATCTCTGGTCCTATAGAATCAGCCAGTTCAGTGTTGAAAATGAAGAACTTCTTTTCTTCCAAAACTGATAATCTCAATGAAACTACTGTTTTGATCTGGGTTTGGCCGTTTGGTCAGACATTTGATCTAACATCCTGCCAAACGATGTTCAACATCCCCGGGTGCCATCTGACTATTGACCGCTCGCTATATAACAGATCCCACGCTGTCCTCATTCATCACAGAGACATTAGCTGGGATCTGGCTAATTTACCTCAGCAAGCCAGGCCACCATTCCAGAAGTGGATTTGGATGAACTTGGAGTCTCCAACTCATACTCCACAAAAGAGTGGCATTGAACACCTTTTTAACCTGACCCTGACTTACCGGCGTGATTCAGATATCCAGGTGCCTTATGGCTTCATGATGGTTGGCACCAGTTCCTTCACATTTGAAGTACCAAGTAAGGAAAACTTGGTCTGTTGGGTTGTGAGTAACTGGAACCCTGAGCACGCTCGAGTCAAGTATTACAATGAGCTTAGCAAATACATTGAAATCCACACCTATGGACAAGCCTTCGGAGACTACGTCAATGACAAGAACTTGATTCCAACTATCTCCACCTGCAAATTCTACCTTTCCTTTGAAAATTCAATCCACAAAGATTACATTACTGAGAAACTCTACAATGCTCTTCTGGCTGGATCAGTACCAGTTGTACTGGGCCCTTCCAGAGAAAATTATGAAAATTACATTCCAGCAGACTCTTTCATACATGTGGAAGATTTTCTCTCCCCCAGAGAGCTGGCAGAATATCTTCTGATGCTTGACAAAAATAATAAGATGTATCTTAGTTATTTCAACTGGAAGAAGGATTTTTCAGTGCATCTTCCTAGGTTCTGGGAATCACATGCATGTCTTGCTTGTGATCATGTGAAAAGACATCAGGAATACAAGTCCATTGGAAATTTAGAAAAATGGTTTTGGAATTAATTTGGGGGGGGGGGGGGGGGGGGGGCAGGGAGGGGGGGAGGGCAGGTGTGGGTGTGTGCGTGTGTGTGCATTTTTTTGAAGAAGCCAGAAAGGACTTCAGTCCAAGTGGAGAGGAAAGGAAAAGAGAAAAAAAGGAAGGAAAAGAGAATCTCATGTCATGGTTTATAAGTTATTATCTCTTGGCTATCCTATTTATATTTTGTAAGAGATTTTAAAAGATCAGCAGCAGTCATCAGTACCCAGTTTCAAATTATAATACAGATACTAATTATGTGCACTGAAAAGTATTTGATTGCTTATTATAAATTTCAAACAAAATTTTCCACATTTTCTGTGAAACATGTCCCAGTCTTACACTTGAAGTAGTCATTTTTAGCATTTTTTTAACATTATCTTTGTTGTTTAAGCTATTTGGAAAAAAAGAAAATTTTAAGAACATAGTTTGTTGTTCCAGACAGACGTGTGTAATACTTCAAAAGACAGTAAAGTTTCATATGTTCATCTTGCATTTAAGTACACAGTAGAGTACGATACCTAACATTATGGAAGTGTGATTAAGTGCTCCCCTTTTAAGGGTAATGAACCTAGAACTATAGTTTTAAAATGTATTAGAATACTGGATAGTCTTTGTTTCTAAAAAGGTTTCTTAACAAACAGTCCCATTATGTTGCTTCAGGAATATATCCCTTCTTACCCTTGAAAGAGGGTCAGATTTAGAGAAAATGACCAAAGCCCAGATTCATCCAATTTTTAACTGTATTCAAATGCAGCACACCCTTGGCTCTCAACATGTCTCAAGTATTTTTAACCTGAACCAGGGCTTTAAGTAGTGAGATAAACAAATTTTAACAAAGGTGTTTGATTACATCAGCCGTATGCACTGAATTCAGCTGATAATAATGGATTTTTAGAAGCAGTTTGCTGAGAAATTTCAGAAAACTCTCTTATATAATTTCTTGAATTATAGTGAATTTTCCCCCAGTTCTGTAAAGATCTGTTGAATTTTTATTGTAGCTGGACAACTTGATGTTATGAGACACAAGTGTGGGGAAAAATTACTAAGCAGTTTTCTCAGAGAAACATGCTGAAATTCAGTAAGTAAGCTATCAGGTTGCTATATAACATTTCAACCTACTATACTAGTGAATTTGGGAAGTTGAAAATATTTTTTATGAGAGGTATTAAAAATGCACTCTTCAGAGGAACAGCTGCTGTCAATATTTGATAATATAAGTAGATTTTTAAGTATTAAATTTGGTCTAATAGCAAATACAAAATTGTGATGATTGTCATAACTTTTAAAATGTCTGCTTCAAACATGTATAATTTTATTTTACTACTTCTTTCCTTCAGTTAAGACAATTTTCTGATTGCCATATACATTCATATGTACAAGGTTGTTTTAATGACATAAATGTATGGGTATGTTTTGGTATCAAATGAAAGCCAATCAGCCTGGATTTTCAGGTCAAAGTTCTGCAAATCATACCTGCTACTGAAAAAAAAAAAAAAAAGAAAAAAGAAAAAANAAAAAAAAAAAAAAAAGAAAAAAGAAAAAAGTTAAACTGAAAAGACTTTTGCTTATGGGAAAAAAAAAAAAAAAAACAAGAAAAGTAGTCAATCAAGTAACTGAGATTAAATTTGCAGAAAAAAATGTTGCTGCAGTAAGGAAATGAGAGATAAATTATAAATATTTAGCGAAAGACAATGGGACTTATTACAGGCTGGAATAGAAACACAAAAGGCCATAAGAGTAATTAGTTAAATTTCTAGAAATTAAAACCCTGTGGAAAAGTTATGGAATTACTTCTGCTCTGCCTATGGTTTCAAAACCTGTATTCTGATCCAGCTAGATTTCAATATACTGTGAATCACCTAAACTCACCAGCATTCTAGTATGCAGCAAGATAAGCTTACCTTGAAAATTAATGCAATATAAGGAAACTGAGTCTTCTTAAAACAAACTTCTGATGTGCATGTAATCTGAGTAGTATTTTATCATTTTGAAGGCAAGTGGCTTTAGCTTATAGTCTGTCCTACAGGACATCATAACATTTTGTTTCCAGGAGGAGTGTGAAATTCCCAGTCACTGAACATACCACTGGTTTGGCTCAATAACCTGATTCCCTCAGTGCTGGAATTAGGAAGTCCTTTGCATTGACCTCAGTGAAAAGTGAATTTGTACAACCATTCCTCACTTCAGATCATGAGAGTTTTTCTGTGTGCTAGAAGGCCTTGGGTCAATTCAGACTGGTTTTTTGGCAGCAAGTTCAGCTAAGTCCTTATAGTAATAACAAGCAAGCATATATAAGATATATGAAGCGTTACTACAAATATTTGTCAGTGTATACACAGGAAAGTTTTGAAATATACACTGAATTTTAATCTTCTAAGTAATGTCTTTACCTCTGTAAGGACGAGATCCAGTCAGCATGGCTAATCTTAGGCTGAATTTTAAAAAATGTGAAAGTCTTTCCATGGAACTGGAAAGAATGTTGTTCTCTTCACAAGAAGCTCCACACAAGGCTTGTATATAGTTCATTCAGGAAACATTGCTAAAATTGCTTCAAAGATAAATAAAACAGGAGAGAAAGCTAATCCAGAATTATGCATAAAAATCATTACCAAATCCAAAAAATATACATGACCCTAATGCCACTGTGGCATTCTTGAAGAGTAAGTGCTGGAACAAAATTGAGCCAATTTTTATGAAGATTTTAAGGTGATCTGCAAGTATCAGGCCTTAAGCAGTTCTGGATATAAAGATCTTTGCTGACAAAAGATGAAGCATTTTTAGACATGTTAAGCCTATATAGTAAATGTTGTGAAGCAGTGGATACAAAACATCTGTGCTCCATGCATGCATAAAGGTTGCCTACCTAGACCTAGACACTTAACTCACCTAAGGCTGCTTCCAGTTTGTATATGACATTCAGCTTGGTGAGGTCTGTGCTTCTTTTGTGATCTACTCTACATGAGCAGCAAACATAAACAGAAAAATAACAAATCATTGTGAAAGAAAATGAGCAAACTCAACCAACTGTGGAAGGGACTAGGCAAAATAGGTATTGTGCTTTGGTATCACTGGCAAAAGAAGATAATTGTAGCAGAAAAGTGAACTAGAAGATAGGAAATCACACCAGTTCTAATTGTTTTCTCAACAATATTCTTTCAGACATTCAGTTTCTTTTGTTTGCTAGCCCACAACAATCTTGAGTTGCATTCATCACAAGTTAACTAAGCAGCCAGTGAAGACACAGAGTATCATCATTCTTTCTTTTACAGTGGCTTACTTTGGATGTTTTTGTCTCTCTGTCATGCACTGAGCTATCAACATAACTGCTTTTCCCTGTATGGAAAATAAGACCCAAACCAGATAAAATACTAAGTGCACATGTGTTTTTACCCTACTGAATGTGAGCAGGTACAAGACAAAACTGGCAGCAGATCCTTCTAAAGCAATTTTCCTTTTATTTCATAGACAATGTCCACAGCAAATCTTGCTTAGTATGAGATCCCCATTCCATAGTGAATCCTCTTGCCAGTTTCTTTGAATGCCTCATTCCACATGTCTATACCACAGTGAGCAAGCAGCCTGAGCAAGGCCCACAGAAAGTGGAGACATCCAGTAACATATTTGTCTTTTAAGAAACAGATCAAGTAAAATGAAAGTTTGACTGATAGATCATAAATGTGGGGCTTTGTAGAGTTCATGCAGGCTCCCATGAGCAAGATGTGGGAAATTCACATCACTGAACATAATAAAGAACTACTTGTTCTCTCTGGATGCTCATGTTTTTTTCTCAAAATAGGCTTGAATAAAATCCACATAATTTTCTCCCATCTCTAAACAAGCAGTTAAATAGACAATAACTACTCCTTTTTATTCAAGAATGGGACTCCTGTTAGTCTTGTACTGTCTTTTTTATTAGATGCAGAATAACATTCAGGAGAAGAGAGAAATCTGTCAATAAGATAATTCTATTTCTTATCTAGATTCAAGGATCTTTATTCTTATTTTCTTATTTGATTTACAAGTCCTCATGCATCAAAATCTTCTGGACATGATACAAAAAGACCTAAAGTGTATGCAGATGACCATGAGACTTAAGCATGTGCTTAATTTTAAGAGCATCTTAAATGATTTAATGCACTGGGGCTCCAGAGAATATGTTTTCATTGCCTTTAGGAATTGTGCCAAAGAGTGCAATCTATAGACATCAGAGACCAACTTGTGTGGCCTCTTTTACATCATGTCTGTAGAAAGTAAAGAGTGGCTGACTACTGAGCAGTCCACACTGAAATGCTTGGATTCATTCTGATTTGGTGTCTAACCAATAAATCTTCACCCAACTTTTCTTCTCCTCCACCACCTCAGGCCACCCCCTCAGCACAGCACTCAGCTTACAGCCTGCCCATGCTGTGCTGGGTTGCTGAACTTCCATGTGACATAAAGAAGCCAGAGTGGCTGAGGATGCTGAGGTAGTATTTTGAGGCCTGTCCAAGGATGAAAGCATAAAATGTGGTCATGTCCTAAAATCTGGACTCACTGTGCCCTACAGGGAGTCAGTCTCAGCCATACCTGATTTTCCTGTGAGGAAAGTATTTGGTTCATTCTAGGTGAGACTGAGTAATCACTGTGTGTGCAAAGTGGGAACAAGAGGTATCTCTGTGTAGGCTGACAAGGACATTTCTGACATATTTAAACCTAGCAGTGAAAATTTAACAAATACTCAAGTGTTTCCTTGGTTAAAACTAGTATGTTATTGAGAACAGAGTCCAGGGGAAGTATTTGTATATCTACCTAAAAGCTGGTGGGCTTTTTCATTAATTTTGGCTGACAGTGGTGTTTTAGATTTTTGTTGTTATTGTTTTTAATAAAATTGATTTGAAAATGTTATCAATCAATCAATACGATTTATACAAGATCGTTATTTCACATTTATCTTTTGCTCCTTGCTTGGGCAAATCTTCTACCAGAGTTATCAGGTGATTTGGGAGATTCCTATGCTAGTAACAAAGGATTGAGCCAAGGGTGAAATGGCTTGGCTAGAAAAATCCTGTCTTATTAATGGATATTTACCTTCTAATATTTTAATATCTAGTTAGTGCTACGGCAAATTCTACATTCAGAGAAACAATGTAAAAAGCATACTTGTTAGATATGCTCATAAAAAGTACAGAAATACCAATAAATTGATTAAATAAACCATGCAGTGGTAATTTTAATTCATGGCACAATTGCTACAGGGCGATACAGATGATAAAACCATCAACTTGTGAGAAATAACTTTGCCTAGAGACTTCATCCAGCAGTTTTCGTACTGGAGGAAGTCACTTCATTAGTCTATTGTAAAAGTAATTAATTGGCAATCTTTTGTGTCACCATATTCTCGACGCTATTGACTGAAAGCAACAGTCTCTGTGGAGTGAATAGCTCAGAGGTTCACTCATGTGGCACAGAGCCTCTCACCCCCAGCTGAGCAGCCAGAGTTAGGACTTGGCTGG